TTTATCAGTGCCAAGTAATTACCTCTATCTCAACATAGAATCATAGAATCCTAGAATAGTTACAGTTAGAAAGGACCTTAAGATCATCTAGTTCTAACCCCCCTGCCATTTTTTGGTTTTGTTTAATGATTTCTCTGGGGGTGTTTCTCGGTGTGGTGCCAGGCAGAGCCTTTCTCTTCAGCAGTAAGTTTTGAGACAGTCTGTGCTCACAGGGTATCATAGGCAGACTGCCTCTAAGCGCAGGGTTTATTAAGGTCTTAGTGAGTTCAGCATCTTGGTACCTCAGTTTTGCCTGCTGAGTCTGGAAATAGTTGTTGGGCACCACTGATGAGCAGAACAATCCGATTTTTAACCTTTGAAAGGGAAGCAAATATTAGATGGATGAAGGTTGTAGCTTTTCTGCCTTTGTCTGCCCATGCCATACTGCCTTCTCTTGATTAATTGGGCTTTCCACTAAACGGTTTGAAGTTACAGAAATCCCTCTTATGGAATAATTCTTGAGAAAATCCTACTTTATCACCTGATTACTTTCCACAAAAGTCTGGCCTTAAAGATGCTGGAAAATAGTAGCTGATGGCTAGTGGAGGGTGTTTGAAGTTCCTGCCCCAGGTTTTTTCATGTTGAAGGTGCTTTAAGACCTCATTCCCAGAAGGTAAATTCAAGTAAGTTTTGATCATCAGTTTTTGTTAGGTGATGTAGCTTTTGAAAGTGAATTAAGACTGGATGTTGAGTAACCTGTTCACGGTGATGGAGTTATATTTAACCTCTTGAAGAAGGTTATTGTTTAAAACAATTCTGGTCTGTTTGTTAAGGCTAAGAGTCTTACCTCTCTGCTTGATTCTTCTATGAGAAAGGGAAGTACAGAGCCAGTCAGGCTACTCCCATGATCCCACTCCTGCTGTTTAGTTTGAAATGTGCACAGACAGTACCTTTGAAACGTGCTCCCTTTCAAGGGCCTTGTTAGCACCTCCATAACCTGACAGCTTCCCTGGAGGTGGCTGCAGGCTTGGATCTTGTAGTAGGTCACAGGTGATGTGAAATACCTTAGAAATAAGTGCTTCTGTCTCAGTGCTGACTGGGAAACAAAAGGCTTCCTCTGCTTCTGGTCAGCGTGTAAATCACACGCATGCTGCTGGGCAGGTGGTGGCATTTCTCCTGACATCAGCAGAGGGCCATGCCAGCAGCGCCTTACATGCTCATTGCCTCAGTAATGCACCACATGCCTGTCACTATAGCAACCCCTGGGAAAATTACCTCAGCAGCTTCTAAAATCCATTTTTACATTAAGTAATTTACAAAATTAAGTTTTTAAACTTAGTATGCACTATATAAAAATTTGCTCAGACCTATGTGGTTTGGCTCATTTGGGCTGGCAGTTCTTTCGTGTGTGGTTTCTTTTTTTTTTTGGGGGGGGGGTGTATTTTTTGGTTGTTTTTTTTATGTTGGGGTTTTCTTGTGGGTTTGGTTTTTTTGTTTTTGTGTTGTGTGGGTTTTATTTGGGGTTTTTTTGTTGATATTTTTTGTTGTTTTTTTAGTAATTTTGTTCCTAGCTGAGTAGTTAATGTTTGGGTGAGAGGCCATATAGCTGTGGTGTGTCTCCTCAAAGTTAAGACACTTCTTAGCAGGTGCTCAGCATGCCATATGACTGAGACCTTTATGGCTTGCCCCTAAAGTTTGCTGCTTGCCTGTAAAATTACTGCTGCCTATACAGCTGAACTCCCCATGGTAACTCTGGTGGTGGTTACCTGCTTTTGGATTGGCCCGGAGGAGCAGTGCCAGGGTATTTCCAATACCTGTATCATTATTATGGTTTTAAATTTTGAAGTTTTTAAGCTGAGGAAACATCTGCTTTGTGCAGTTGTTGGCAGCAGTCTTTTTGTGGAAGTTCATGTTTATGACAAGTCTTGTGGTTTGCTTGCAAGAGTGCATGTGCAGCCATTTCTAGTATGCACTGAAAATTTAGTGTCATTGCAGAGTCTGAGCGCAGTATTTGTGCATACATTTTGAGTTAGGCACTGATCCTGAAGTATCTAGTGCATATCTTTTATGTGCTTAATTTTTTTGCACAGGATTTATTTGCCCAGGCGAGTGATGTATTTGTCAGTACCTGCTTTAAGGCAATGGTGAATCATTTATTTAATAAGCAGATGTACAAAAAAGTCAACGAAAATCTTCATCTTCATTCACTCCTCACCCATCTGAATTCAGAGACTCGAGACATTGCACATAGCCCTGGCTTCATAAAGTTCTCTTCATAAATTTCTCTGATCTGCTTGCAGATAAGTCAGTGGAGGAAGTAACTCCACCCTGCTTTCCTGTGAGAGCTTATGGACTTCCCACACCCCAGGCTGTAGCCATCAAATAAACTAGATTAATTTGAGCAATTTTAGTAGTCTTTCTTCACTATTCCAAATAATTTTACTAGAAATGTGTTAGCATTTTTAGTGATTTTAGAGTATCTTGAAGGGAGCTTTATGTTGCTGATGAAGGCAAAGCCTTCAGTCTGATTTTCAGAAACGTGTTGAATCCCACTGAAGTTGATAGCAGAATGTGAAGTTACATATCGTCATACAGTAACAGAAAGTGTTTCTGATCTGCAGAGCTGTTAAAGTCAGTAGCAGAAAATGCCTATTTGTTTGCTTCAGAGCAACAATGCACAAACTTCATTAAAATGTGAATTCCAGCACAAGTAATTTTCAACAGAAGTGCCTTTGCTTAAAAAAAATAAATAAAAATAAAAACCAGCCAAACCACAACAAATCCAAACTTGAAAAAAAATGATTTTTTTTTCCACTTAAAAAGAATTTCATTAACTGTCTGCGGTATGGTCACAGCATGAAAATAGCAATCATAAAAGATTTAAAAATAAGGTTGCACAACAAAGAACTGGGACATTTTTATTTAAATAAATGGATACAGTAATTTCTTTATTAAGTTTTAAGTTAGAAGGGAAAGTAGTGGGGCTAAATGCCATTATTTGAAAATGAAAAATGCAGGATGCATTCTAAATTGCTTTTGTTGGACTGTAGATTCTGGTTATGATTTGTCAGTGTCAGAAAGATTTTAAAGGATTTTCTGCATGCTATCTGATTTTGTTTTGGTTTGGGGATTTTTTTCTGTGAGGTGCTATTAGTAGTTTTGATACTGCTTTCTTTATTTTTGGCTTTGAGTGTATAATTCAGGACATTAATTCTTAGAGAGCCCAACATTCTTTGATTTCTAAGTGAAGAAATCTAGGGAAAGAAATAGGACTCCTTCAGGATATATAAGGAGTCTTCTATGGACTGTATGGGCTCTGTAAAATGCTGATGGTGAAGTGAGGGGGAAGGTTGCTGTTCAGTAATTGAGTGAGCTAACTTGAGCAGAACTGAATGAGGACGAGGAAAAGATAAGTATTTTTAAGGATAAATTAATGCTTCTGGAACTTAGTGGCATCAGTGATTTGTGTTAGGACAAAAAAATACTCATCTGCCCAATTAATGGTTTCCAGTAACATAAGTGAGATTTAACAGTGTACGATTATCCCTTTGTTTTATTGCCTTTCTAAAATCAGTCAGACGTGCATTATAGGTTACCTTAGTAACATGTGTGCTGTGCACAGGTGCAGTCACCAGGCTTACATAGAAGAACAAAACTGGAGCTTGCCAAAGGAATGCAGCAGAATGGTTGTGCAAATGGTTATCTGTAGGTTAATTTATCTTCTCAGTGGCTAACTGTAGGTCATTCTTGGGCTGGGAAGTAACCAAATGGCCAAGAACTTCATGTCTCGCAGCAGTCTCTCTCAGATATCTACCATGGGGAGAGCCCAAGCTTCCTGGTGCACTAATTTAGTAAGATATCATAGAACTATAGGACAGTTTGGATTGGAAGGGACCTTACAGATCATCTAGTTCCAGCCCCCTTGCCATGGGCAGGGACAGCTTCCACTAGACCAGGTTGCTCAAAGGCCTGTCCAACCTGGCCTTTGAATACTTCCAGGGATGGGGAGCCCACAGCTTCTCTGAACGACATGTTCCAGTGTCTCACCATCCTCATAGTGAAGAATTTCTTCCTAATGTCAAATCTAAATCTTCCCTCTTTCAGTTTAAAACCATTCCCCATGTCCTGTCACTACAGGCCTTTGTAAAATGTCCCGCTCCAGATTTCTCGTAGGCCCTCTTTAGGTACTGGAAGACTGCTACAAGGTCTCCCCTGAGCTTTCTCTTCTCCAGGCTGAAAAAGCCCTGCTTATCCAGCTCCGGGACCCAAACAGGCTATAACACACTTGGTACACTTCCTTTTTTGAAGCATCTCTTTTATGAGAATTAAGTAAAATCTCCAGTACTCCATTGCTATATGATTGAAACCCATCATTAAGCAATAGCAGAAGATTTTTGTGTTGTAGCTAATGAAAATTTACAAGCAATTTTAAGCAATTTGCGGTTATTTACTAACCAGCTGGCATGTATTTCATGTACTACAGGCTTATTAACTTCATCAGAAGTTTGAGTGTCAATGCAGGACTTTCAGGTGCTAGAGATCTGTTCTATAGCACTTCACTGTTTCTTGGGAGATTCATGGTTCTCTGTCCATGTATATGTGTAGACACTGCAGAATGATTAAGAAGTATTTTGCATATTCAAATAAAACAGCAATTTTATATTTCTCAGGCATCTTACAATATTCTTTGTCTCTACATTGCCTAGAATTATTTAAAGAAAAATTTGAATCTTTGGTGAATATACATGTGAAAGCTATTTTCAAGCTTGTTTGAAAATAAAATTTAATAATTACACTCCCCTTCTATAGAATTTACTTGAAGCTATGGAAGTGTACAGGAAGAGGGGATGGAGCACATTTTTATACTTTGTCCCCTCTTTTATGCCAATAATACTTTTTTTTTCTGTTGTGCTTCTTCCTACCCCACAACCGCTTTCCCTTCCCAAGTTTTCCTTTCTCTTTTCCTCAGTCAGATGACAGTGTCACTGTCTTGCATTCCTTTTGTTTCTCCCTGTCTATAGCTATCTTAATGACTTGGACCGCATAGCAGATACCACCTACCTGCCAACTCAGCAAGATGTGCTCAGAGTTCGAGTCCCAACAACAGGGATCATTGAATATCCATTCGACTTACAAAGTGTCATTTTCAGGTAGTTTATTCTGTTTCTTTTTACATTAGTAAAAAAATGGGCAGCTTTACCAGGTTGGGAAGTTATACTCTGGTAGTGCGGCGGGGGGAGAGAAATGACAGGCCACAGAGTCTGTTCTGTTCACATATGTTTTAGCTGAATACACCAGGCATACACTGCCAAATCGTAGCTCATGAAACCTTTGTATCTCAGAAATCTGAGGGTTTTGAGACCCACAATAATCTAAACACAGAAAACACATCAGACTTCAAAGCAATATATTCTTCTTCAGCAAACTTTCTACCTAGAACAGATTCCATTAAATATCAATTAAAAAAAGACATTTAGAAAAACAAACTGAACTTTGTTTTCAACTAAATTCTTGAATTTTGTCACTGTGTGTGTGCTTGTGTGTTTATCTGTTAAGGTGTTCATGGAGTTGATGTGGATGTTAATTTTGCAGAATGGTGGATGTAGGAGGCCAACGATCAGAAAGAAGAAAATGGATACATTGCTTTGAAAACGTCACATCTATCATGTTCCTAGTAGCTCTTAGTGAATATGACCAAGTGCTTGTGGAGTCAGATAATGAGGTAAGCAAGCATCACCAAAAGCACCAGTTTTAATGAAAAAATAACTTCACTTGTCCAGTCCCGGGTGTTTTCCAAATGCGTCCACCAGCAGGCATGCACAACTGCCCTTAACAGAGTGAGAAGCACTACAGGGATGAAGATGGGGGGAGAGGATCAGTCTTCAAATATGGCAGAGCTGATCCACTCTATGGAGGATTCAGAGAAACCTATCTTTTTTGTGTTGAAGGGGAATACAGCTGAATATAGAGAAATGATCTTAGTGTTGCTATGTAGCAGGGCCACAAAAACAGGCAGTGAAAATGAAGACAAAATTTATAGATTCCTTGCCCTCAGCAGGTTTGTTGGTGACACCAAGCTTTGTGGTTCAGTTGATACGCTGGAGGGAAGGAATGCCATCCAGAGGGACCTGAACACGCTTGTGAGGGGGCCTGATGCCAACCTAATGAAGTTCAACAATGCAAAGTGCAAGGTCCTACACTTGCTTCGGGGCAATCCCCAACACAGCTACAGGTTGGGTGAAGAGATTCAGAGGAGCACTGCAGAGGACTTGGGGGTGTTGGTTGATAAGAAGCTCAACATGAACCAACTTCAGTGTGGCCTTGCAGCCCAGAAAACAGCCATATCCTGGGCTGCATCACACTGCATGGGGCATGACCAGCAAGTCAAAGGACAAGGTCCTGCTTCTCTGCTCTCATGAGGCGCCACTTGGAGTACTGTATACGTACAGTTCTGGTGTCCTCAACATAGGAAGAAAATGGAACTGTTGGAGAAAGTCCAGAGGATGGCCACAAGGATGATAAGGGGACTGGAGCACCTCCCATATGAAGACAGGCTGAGAAAACTGAGGCTGTCCAGTGTGAGGCATTCCTGCCCATGGCTTAGGGGTTGGAAGTAGATGACCTTAAGGTCCTTTCCAACCCCAAATGTTCCATGATTCTATGCTAGAATGGACCCTAAAGCAGTAAACTTCATTCCTTACACTTAAGTCACAGGATGTGTATTGTATTTTCATTTCAAAAAGTAAGAGAGGTAAGAAAGTCAATGAGCTGAGGGGGCAAAGCACACTTGTATCCAGTATTTTGAAGGAAGTTTACAGAGTAGAGAAATTATTTAATATTTAGATTTTTTGGCTTTCCTGATGGATAGTGTAAGTTATTCATCAAACTTCTGTGAGTTACTCAAAGGCACAGTCCTATGCAAGTCTTTTAACACATACTTATAAAAGCTAGGTGAAAAAACGAAAACATTTGAATATTCTTTATGGCTGCATACATGTTGATATTTCTGTGTAAGAGAATGGTTGAAATAACAAGGCAAAAGCGTGTTCCTGGACATGTATGTTAGGTAACTACTATATATTATATAACTATTCTTAAATTGTTTTGTAAAAGATAGCTTTACACATAAAGCTGTTTTGATTTTTCAAGATTTCACTTCTGAAACACTTCATGGAAGCAAAAGTTGTAAAACTCCTCATTGTCTTGCAGATGGTTCTTCCACATTGCTGCTAAAGTATTAATGTTTCTTACTAATCTTAACAGTGGAAAACTTCTGAACCTTTCTGAACCTTCAGTTTAAAATATATTCATAACTTTAATTCAGACCAGTTCTTGTTTTCAAGTCATACATACGTACCCTAGTAGCACCTTCCAGCAGCCTTAGGCCTGGAGCCAGACTATCTTAGAGCTAAGCAGCTCATCTGGGCAGCTTAGTTTTGGCTTTCGGCAGGCTGTAGCCAGTCTATCTAGATTTTGTTGGTATTCTAGAGCACTAGTTTATTCCCTTCCTCATAATTCATGTATTTACTGATCCCATATTGCAGTTCTGTCTGAAAATGTTTGTAATGTATGGAGCAGGCTGGAATGGCTTAAGGATTCTGAGTTTTTAAAATAATAGCGAAATTGATTCCTTGGAGTAAGAAATCCTAGATACGCACCTTCAAGCTATGCCTAATACTGCCGTTACTTTGTCTGTGTTGTCCTTTCATATGTTACACTATTATCTAGGATCGATCTTTTCTGTGATCTTGACAACAATATTGGTCAATGGATATCCACAGAAATTATGTCACGAAAATAATTTTTCCATCTTCTTGCTTTTACCTTGCATTTATCAGTCCATTGGCTTTCACTGCCTTACCACATGTAACCCTTGGTCTGCTTTAAGACCTGTATTATCTAACCTGATATGTTAACCAGGTTTAATATTTTTTTTTTGTGCCAGTCTTGACCAGTCATTTTTAAAATAGTCAAATACTTTTGCATGTGTCACTGCTCTCATTCTGAACAGAAAGAGTTCCCCTGCTCCGTTGCTGCTGTGTAATGTGCAGTGGTGTAGCAGCCAAAGTTGTGTGAAGACTGCTGCTTGCACTGTTGAGAATCCTGCTGCTATGACTTTATGCTCTCTCATTCTGTGTTCAGCATCTGTTGTCTCACAGATTTATACCGTGTTTATAAACTTTCAAAGCAGTGGCTGTTACTTAGGATTAAAGTGCAGCTGTGATCCCCATTAAGTCTTGTAGGTTTCTGAGGCGTAGAATAGCAGGTTCATTTGCCAGTAGCAGATGTTTGCATGGCAATAGCAGTGGGAAAACATAACATTTGTATTTTGAGATATGAACAGAACCAGTAGATCTGGAAGTAATTCAAGCAATGGTTCTGAAGGCCATTGGACAAACCTTGCAGCAATTCAGGGAGTACTCAGACAAGTGGAACAGGAGGGATGGAAGGTAGAAGGGACAATGTGATTGGTGGAGTCCCTTTTGGAAGGTGGTGTAGGCTAAATAATCTGGGAAGAGAGTTGTTCTTAAACACTTGTCCAAAACATTACCACCAAGGAATCATTAAAACTGTCTAGTGACTAAATTGTCTATAAATACAATGCCCCTCAGTAAAATCATGTTTAGCTTGGTGTTCATAGATCATAACGGCTGAAAAATGATAGCTACATATGAGTGTAGTAGAATTGGTTGCTTAGAGGCATAGGATCTCCATCCCAGAGACAGATGTACAAATCTTGAGTAGACATGGCCATGAGCAACTAGATCTAATAACAAAGTTAGTGCTGCTGGGAGCAGGGTGTTGGACAAGATGACTTCCACAGGTCTTTTCCACTATAAATTCTCTCTAAGTAGAAAAATAATTGTTTGACAAATAAAAGATTTGTTTGTTTGTTTCTTTGGGGAACATTCTTGTGGTCGTGTCATAAGCTTTAAACCCCTGAAGAATCAAGCTTTATTTGATGTTGGATATCTGAATTAGTGTAGTTACTTCCACAGTCTTTAATTTACACTGAAGAACTATCTTGTGATTTTATCATAACATTTGCATGAAGTCAAAACAGGCGGTTTAGAAAATTACGGCTCAGTACCTCAGCTGTAACTGCAGAGCGAAACTGTGAAGGAACTTTGTAGAGTGGTTTTCTGTGACAATTCAGTGCTTCAAGCACTGAATAAAGGCACTGTGCAAGGAGGCCAGTTCTTCTAATTGGTGGAAATTTGTTATATTCTTAGGATGTTCCAAGTAGAAAGGATCAATGCTGCTTGGTTTGTTAAAAAGTATTAAAGAATAATGTATTTAAAATTACATTAAAATAGTTAAATAAAACCTACGATAAGTATTTTTACTGTGTTTGCATTTGTGTGTGTATGTAGGTTAATTAATGTAGGCATACAAACTCATGTTTTGAGTATGGATAAAATGCATCTGCAGAATTGATAGATGGAACTTCTGTACCATTCATCAGTGCCATCTGTTAATGGGTGACACATTGGTACAGTGTTCCAATCACACTTCTTTTTGATGTGGGACAAAAATAAGAAAGGAGGCAATTATCTCAAGCATGTATTCTACTTTTTCACTGGAACTATCTTGCTGTTCACATCTGGGCATGCTTCCACTTCTCTTACAGCACTTTGTGTTCCTTATTCACAGCTTAGTCCTATGTGGCTTAGCATGAGGACTGAAAGAAAACAATGAGATCAGAGCACTTTCTGTTTTTATGCATCATGAATAAATGTAATACTTTAGTAGCCTGGTTTTTTTTTCATCAACATTCAGCAATCCAGAGCAATTGAGCATAGGTCAGTGGCATAATATGAATTCTCAGATAGAACTGAAGTCCTCAAATTGTCTTATTTAATTATTTAATTATTTAACAATGTTATTTCCATGGGAAATAAAATCTCCAGAACTCACTGTTTATTTCGAAACTAGAGAAAATAACACATTAACCACCTGTGCCAAACCTTGTTCCTCTATGTATGGTATCTGCTCATACCTGTTCACACATACATGCATATGTATTTCCTTTTTGGTTTGTGGATAAAGAACCTTTTGAATGTAAAGTATCAGTACTGGGAAGTATTTGTATAAGGAAGAGTCAGAGCCTCTCTGTCTTTTGTTTAAGTGGGTGGTTCATAATGGAAATGGGAGGTTGAATGATTGTGAACATGGTTGCAGAGGCTGCCAGAAACACTGCTGGTAAATGTTGCTGTTGGCAGCAATTGCTGGCAAAGATAACTGCTTCTATTTTTTTATTTTTCTTTTTTTCCAGTGATCAGTGGAAAGGACTTTTTTCAGTGTCAATTTTAAAATACTTTCAACTTTTCTTTTTTATCTGTACATATTCATGAAAAACTGATTATTCTGGCATTCATGTTCATTCATAAAAATTAACAGCCTTTATTAATTTATTTATTGAAAGAATATTTTACAGCAATGTTTGACCGTGTTTCTGGAGCGACTTTTTAGGCCACTTTTTTTGGACAGTGATTTTGTGCTTTGAAGGTTGTTGAACATGTTGCTTTGATGGATTATTCCCAAGTTCTGTGTTTGAAGTTGTCTCTTACTGTGTTTGAGTTACTCATCAAAATATTTGTACAACCACTGCAGATTTTTTTTCTTTGATAGTAGTCTTAAATAGATTTTTCTTAAGCTAGTGTAGTTTCAAGATTATACTTTGTACCAGTGGCAAAAATCTGAAGCATTTCCAATATTGTT